ATCCAACTTCCAGATATTCCCCTCTGTTCCCCAGCCCCCACCATCACGCCTTACAGATCCCCCATCTCTCAATGCCCCCAAGCAACCGGAGGTGCCATAACCCCCAGATTTTGTGTAGATTTTGCAGAGCCACCAGATAAAAACCTAGTGTGAGCATCTCTCACGTGTGATTTCTCTGCTGGGTAATATGGGGTAAGCTCTGACAAAAGCTTTTCCCTCAGTCAGGGCAGGGATAAGGTCTCTGCCTGCTGTGGGTGCTCTGATGTCTGATAAGAAGCATATTAGACTGGGAACTTTTTCTGCACTCACTACATTTAAAGGGGCTCTCTTCTGTGTGGATTCTCTGATGCATAATGAGGTCTGAGAAGCAAGTGAAGTTTTCTCACGTTTGGGGCATTTACAGAGTCTCTCTCTTTAGGTTCCCTGATGTGTCACAAGGAATGAATGACACCAGCAGTTTTTCCCACAGTCAGGACACTTGTAGGGTTTCCCTCTTGGGTGGAGTCTTTGGTGTCTAACGAAGGCCAAGTTGACAATGACACTTTCCCTGCAGTCAGGGAACATGTGGGGTCTTTTTGTCTTGTGGGGTCTCTGGTGTTTCATAAGGATTGAGCTCATGTTAAAACTTTCCCCCCACAGTCAGGGCACTTATAGGGTCTCTCTCCTGTGGGTTTTCTGAACTATGACCAGGTCTGAGCTCACAATAGGTTTTCCCACAGCTGGGGCACTTATAGGGTTTATATCCTGTAAAGATTCTCTGATGTCTCATAAGGTCTGAGCTCAGATCAAAGCCTTTCCCACACTTGAGGCATTTATAGGGGTTTTCCGCCCTGGGGGTCCTCTTGTGTGTGTGTGTAAGAAGGTTTGTGTTCACACTGAAGCTCTTCTGATAGCCATCACATTTGTTAGGTTTCTCTCCTGTGTGGGTTCTTTGAGGTCTAAAAAGGGTTGATCTCCAACTAAAGCTATAGGGTTTCTCTCCACTGCTGGTTCTTTGACGAGCCTGAGTATTTTTAGTTCTCCCGAGAGCTCTGCCCGTGGAAGTGACTTTACCCCTCTGGCTCCTCTCGAGAGATTTTTTCCTGCCTTCTGATTCGCCTTGACTCTCATGGGTTTCTACTTGCTCAGAACATTGGCAAACATTCCCTTCCAACCTTCCCAAGAACCTCCCATGTCATTCCGCTTCTGGCAGACAATTCTCCTCCTTTCTACTCCCCATCTCCTCCTGTGTTAGAATAAAGAAGGAGAATTGAGAGCTGGGAAATAAAGAATCCTTGAAGAGGGAATGGCAGAAATAAATAATAATGATTTGATCTGAAACTGGGGGCCAAATCCCCCAAAGCAGAGGGGCCAATTCTGCTTCCACGTATCACCTCAACACTCAGGAAATTGACTCATTAATAAGCCTCTATCAGGGAGGAAGGAGGCCATGACTGACACAACCCTGACCTGGGTGAAATGGGGCAGAACTGGGGGGCTCTCGGGGCCTTGGAGAGAATCTCAGCTTTTTCCTTCACTCGCCCATAGTTTCCAAGTTGGTTTAACAGACTCCTCACCAGTTCAGCTGCCACTCCGGCTCGCCCCTTCCTCTGCATCCAAGGGTCCCAGCTCCTCCCCTAGCTCCATCGGAGAGATCTGGAGTAAAAAGTAGTTCCAGGTTATAGGGAGTGTGGACTCTCTGTACATGGGGTCAAATTATAAACTCACGTGTATCCAGGTGTGATTTTTTTTAACTGATCTTTTATTAGAAAACAGAAAAATCATTTTTAAAAGTGAAGAGTTAAAATCAGATGTGTGGCTTTTCTGTGAGGGGCAATGAAGGTTTAATTCTCTCTCCATTCATGGACTGATGCCACGTGGGGCTGTTGTAGCAGGGTTTGGTGTGCATTACTATGAGACACAGTGGAGCTTAGTGGCTTGGTCACCGGCATTAGATGGGCCCCGTGGTTCTATTCCTGGCTCTCCACTGGCCTGCTGGGGCAGGTCACTTTCACACTATACTTCAATTTTCCCCATAGAATCATAGAACTGGAAGGGACCTCGAGAGGTCATGTAGTCCAGTCCCCTGCACTCAGGGCAGGGCTAATTATCTACACCATCCCTGACAGGTGTTTGTCTAACCTGCTCTTAAACATTTCCAATGATGGCGATTCCACAATCTCTCTCGGCAATTTATTCCAGGGCTTAACCATCCTGACAGTTAGGAAGTTTTTCTTAATGTCCAACCTAAACCTCCCTTGCTGCACTTTAAGCCCATCTGTATAATGGGAATAATGAACCCAACTCTTCTTTGTAAAGATCTCTGAAGGAAATTGTCTTTATTGATATAAAATAGATATACCCCCCCCCGCAACATTCATCAATTTTCTTCCCTAATTATTGAACTATATAAACCCCCTAATCCAGAGGTCCCCAAACTGTGGGGAGCGCCCCCCCCCAGGGGTGTGTGGAGGTACCTTTGGGGGGTGCAGCAGGGCCCGGGCCAGTCCCCATGGGGGGGCCAGGAAGGAGCACCACCCAGCCCCTCCCCGCCCCCAGCTCTGCTCCGGTCCTGCCCGCAGCCTTGTCCCTGGCTCCCATCCCTGTGCCTGACCCCGTCCCCAGCCTCGGCGCAGCTCTGCTCCTGTCCCTGTCTCCAGCCTTGGCCCCTGGCTGTGGCTCCAGTCCCGGCCTCGCTCCCAGCCCCAGATCCACCCCCAGCTGCGGCCCCAGACTCGGCCCCCCTTACCTCTGTCACACACACCCCCAGCCACATCATTGATCCCAGCCCCGGCTCCAGCTCCGGGGGCGGGGAGGCGTGGGGCATGGATAGGGGTAAGGGGGGGTGCAATCTTTGGGGACCACTACCCTAATCGTTGTAGGGAAATCACTGCCTTGAGTCATTTTCCCATTAATGGGGAATGAAGATCTTTAATGATCAAGTTTCCCCCTCATATCTGAAAATCAAATTATTTTTCCACTAGTTTTAATTAACATGACAGGATTGCTGCTTAAAGTGAGTTGTTCTGCATGTAACAAACATCAAAGCCAGAAGCCTCCCACCATTTGGGGGGGACAGTGTCTCCCAGCTGCTGACGGGGCCGTTGGCCAGACCCTGACTGGCTGCATTTTGCCCCAGATGGGGGCAGGATGGGAGAGTCATCCCTCCAGGGGGCTGCTGTGTGCGTGACTGGGTTCCTGATCCCCTTAATCAGTATCCAGAGTGTCTAACTATTGTCGTCCTTTATAATGATCCTGCTGTATTAACCCCGCCCATTCCCACCACCACTGTCACCCCAAAGGGTCCCTAAAGCTCCTGACAGATGGATTCTAGGGGAATCATTAGTGGTGTGAATATGGTGGTTGCCCTATGCCAACAAGAGGGGCAATATCCCCACATGACAACTGCCCAGCTCTTGGTTTGCCCTGTCCCAGCTGTTGCCCCCCACCCAAACCAGCCCCCCTAAGCAACAGCTGCCAATCACCAACCCCACCCCCCAACTACCCCCTCCCAACTGCCATGGGATCTTCTGTCTCCATCCCCCTCCCTGTCCCTATTAATGAGGTGTTGCCCAAACGAAAAGCTTCAAAATTCAGCTGATTTGCAATTTGTTTGTGGTTTGGGGGGATGGGGGCACTTTTACAACATTTCTTGGCAATAATGGATTAAAGCTCCTATTAAAATGAGAATTCTCCAGCCATCTTAACTATGGTATCATTACTACTCCACCCATAACAATCCCTAGTGACAGGTTTCAGAGGGGTAGCCGTGTTAGTCTGTATCAGCAAAAACAACAAGGAGTGGCACCTTAGAGACGAACAAATTTATTTAATTTATTAATTTAATATATACATTTATATAATTTATTAACAAATTTGTTAATCCCGCAGCTGTTTCGCGGCACAAGCGCTCGGAGGGAGGGGGGAGAAGCAGGACGCGGCGGCACACTCAGGGGAGGAGGCAGTGAGCTGGGGCCGGGTGGGGAGCTGCTGGTGGGTGCAGAGCATAGGAATCAGCGCCTATGCTTCCAACCCTAATCTTCTATGATTCTATGAATTGTTTGCCTTAACCTCTGAGGATAGGACATGAAGTAATGGGCTTAAATTGCAGCAAGGGAGGTTTAGGTTGGACATTAGGAAAAACTTCGTAACTGTCAGGGTGGTTAAGAACTGGAATAAATTGCCATGGGAGGTTGTGGAATCTCCAGTATTGGAGATTTTTAAGGGCAGGTTGAACAAATACCTGTCAGGGATGGTCTATCTAGACTCTAGATAATACTTAGTCCTGCCTTGAGTGCAGGGGACTGGACTAGATGACCTCTCCAGCTCCCTTCCAGTCCTATGATTCTATTATTAGATATTTAGAGAGAAAAATAAGTAATTTTGCCAGTATATTAATAATCGATAAGTAGAAAGAGACCAGCATCTGAGGGGATTTTGTGTAAAATTCCAATAACTGAGAAAAGGGAAAAATCGGATTGGTATTACAGCAGTGTTTGATTACTGGTGAGAAAAAGGCCAAGATTGGAGTGGGTTAGATCTCCATGTTAAGTAATTCTACAGAAGAGCAGCACTTTGGGGAGGATTTACAGCGATATTCCCTACAGGAACTAGAACATAGAACAAAAAATGAACATGATTAAGGTTGCTCAGTCAAACATTCACAACCGGGCTGGGCTAGACTCAAGAACGTGGGGACAGTGTGAATTCTGCCCCCTTGTGTATGTGCGTTAGGATGTGGTACGCCCGGTTCTTATAGCCCAGGGGTGGCAGGATATAAGAGACAACTGGGGGAAGTAATAGATTTTATTGGAGGAACTTGTGTTGGTGAGAGAAACAAGCTTTCCAGCTACACAGAGCTCTTCCTGCCCCTTTCCCCTCCCTCTCCATCCTGCTTTTCAGCCCTCCCCACCGAGAGCGAAGGGAGAGGAAGCTGTTGCTCTCTGTCTTTCTTCAGGATATCAGGGGTTGAGCTTCCTGGGTCAGTAGCATCTGCTGCTGCCTCCATTGTGAGCCTGGAGCCCGGGCTGAACCGCTGCTGCTCCCCAGCGCGGTGTGGGGAGAGACCTGCATTAACCCCCCTCTCTGCCCAGCCAGGGGGGACTTTCTGCCCCTGGCAGCCCCGGGCTCTGCCGACACCAGCCCCAGAGCCGGAGCCTGCAGGTGAGGGGAGAGACCCGGGGGAAAGGGCTGCGAGCCTCAGAGCTGCTGCCCTCCCTGACACACGCCCAGTTTCGTGTATGTCAGAAACTGCTTCCCACCAGAATTTGCGACTTCGCAGTCACTGAGCAGGCTGGAGCAGTGGGAACATGCTCTGCTGCCCTGACCTGCCATCAGTATCTGCTCCCTGCGATTAACAGGGGGAAAGGGCGGCACATGGCAGGGATGTGTGTGCAGTTTGCCGAGGAAGGCAAAACAAGTGGAGGGAAGCGAAGGAGAGGGGCAGATTGGCAAAACCAGGGACAGGGTGCAGTAGCTGGGGTTGGGAAAGGGGGAGCTGTGCTGCCAGATAGGTTGGGGCAGGGGGAATGGTCCTTAGCACATCCTAGTTTACTTAGGGTGACCATACCTCCCGTTTTGGCCAGGACAGTCCCATTTTTAAACCCTGTTCTGGCTGCCCCAACTTTTTTGGCAAAAGTGGGCATTGGTCCCATGTGTCTCGGCGACTTGATCAGTTGGCAAGAGCAAACAGGACAAATGCCCACTTTTGTCAGAAAAGTGGGGTGCAGAGGAACATGGGGGGGGGGAGAGTGGTGGTGCCAGCCCCATGTAGAGGGGAGATGGGGGGCAGGCAGGACTTGAATGAGCAGTGCTACCAGCATCCACCTTGGGGGGGTGGGGGGAGACAGGCAGGGCTTGGGCAAGCCACTTGAGGGGAGGGATAGCTCAGTGGTTTGAGCATTGGCTTGTTAAACCCAGGGTTGTAAATTTAATCCTTAAGGGGGCCATTTAGGTATCTGGGGCAAAAATCTGTCAGGGATGGTATTTAGTCCTGCTGTGAAGGCAGGGGACTGGACTTGATGACCTTTCAAGGTCCCTTCCAGCTCTATTAGATAGGTATATCTCCATATTAAGCCCCACTTGAGGGGGGAGGGGCGCTCAGGTGAGTGGCTCAGGCCAGCCCTATGGGGGGGAGGGGCTCAGGCATGCAGCTTGGGCTAGTCCCACAGTGGGGAGGGCTTAGGCCAGCCCCACACATTTTTCCTTTGGGAAGTATGTTCACCCTAATTGTATAGTTGGATGTCATTGTGCAACTTAAAACCATTCATTAATGGTAAATAATACCAGAAAATCACAATTGATGCAAGTAGCGAAGCAGCCATGTCTCAGTTTGTTGTAAAACATATTTCCTATGATATTCTGAATGTTTATTTTACACGTGTTATTTAAAATATTTGTTCTTCTTAATTTTCCTCTAGCACAAGTTTCTTCTTTGCTATCGTGTGATTTCCAGGCTGTCAGATTTTCTAGGTTGCTATAACATGCCTTCCTTTTCCTTTGATCCACCAAAGAGGATGGCCTTTCTCGAATGTTATTTTTGCTTCTCTCGCCAGCACCTTAGGGACTGTCTACACTGGAAAGTTTGACCAATTATACAGATGTAGTTATTCTGATTTAAACCCCCACCCCCCATGTGGACATTATTCTACCAAAACCAGAGTGCCTTTTTCCCATTTAGATTAAACCCCTTCCGAAATGATATAAGCTAAACCAATCAGGGGCACTCTTTTATACTGGAATAAGTGTCCACATGAGGAGTTATACCAGTGTAACAATAGGTTTAAACTCACACATTAATTTATACTGGTCTATCTTTCCAGTATAGACAAGCCCTTATAACTTTTAGTCTAGTAATAGTCCTTTGTAATAAATATATCCATAATTAAACAGAGGTATATAAATATTACATATTGCTCATAATCAAAGACTTACTTTTCAGATGTCAGGAAAATTCTAGCTAAGGTGTTTATAGCATCAAAGAATCTGAGCACCTCTCAATAAGTATATATCCTCACACCACCTCTCCCTGGCAGAGAAAAGCTATTATTCCCATTGTACAGAGGGGAAACTGGGACACAGAGAGATGTAGGGTATGTCTACATGGGGGATAAAAAACCCGTTAGATCCTCCCTAAGCTAATGTTGCATAGCATTACAGATTAACATTTTACCTTCTTTGTACAGATCTGACCATATACATACCAAAGTGTGGATGTCTCCAATAAATAATTGTTTTACTCACAGCAGCTTCATATCACACAGTTAAAAATGTGCAATGATTCTGGGTTAAATCGCATGGCTTCCAGCAGTGGGGAAGTATCAGAGGGGTAGCCGTGTTAGTCTGCATCTGTAAAAAGCAACAGAGAGTCCTGTGGCACCTTTAAGACTAACAGATGTATTGGAGCATAAGCTTTCGTGGGTGAATGCCCACTTCGTCGGATGCAGTGGGGAAGGTTCTCCAGGCTCACCCGTCCCCACATGCTGCTGCTCCTAGAGGAAAAGGGAGGTCAAAGCAGTGCAAGGGGCCAGGGGAGAAGGAGGGGCATCAGAGTTATGCAGTGAGGGATGGAGGGGGTCTTCAGCTGAGCCACCCATAACCCCCCCACTCCTCTATCCATGCCCCCCAAGTCTGTCCTCCTTCCAAAAAAACACCTCAGCCACAGTGACTCCATGCCAGTCTCTGCACTGTTCACACATCCTCTGCCCAGCTCCTCAACCTACAGGGCCTCTGCCAAAGTCTGTCCCTGCATGGGGTGGGGGAGGACTGGGCTGGACCGTAAGAGAGGCAGGAATCAGAGGCAGTAGAGGGGAGAGCTGGGCTGTGGAACATGGAGTTGCTGAAATTATTTTTAAAAAGCCAAGTGAAAGAACTGCTCAAAAGCTTTGTTAACACAGAGTTAAGGTTGCCCAGTGCTGCCTCCTGCCCTTCCAGAACGGGGAGCGTGGCTAATACGGTTGCCACCTTTCTAAGGGCTGGTAACAGGACCCCATAGGCCATCCCCCCTGCTCCCCCTCTTCCTGAGGCCGGGCCCCTGATCTGCCTCCCACAAGGCCCCACCCCCTTACCCTGCCAAGGCCCTGCCCCTGCTCCGCCTCTTCCCCGCCACCCCATCAAAAAAACCGGACATCAGGGCTTGTCAAACGGCACTCGGGCTGTCTGGGTGAAAAACCGGACGGGTGGCAACCATAGTGGCTAAACTTAAACCTCTGAAAACCAGGAAGTACAAAGTGGAGGAACACATCACCCGCACAACCCAACCGTATCTCTATCTTCGAGCAATACCCATCACACAGTAACAAACATGCTCTCAGAGATACGACAGAACGCTTTGAGAACATAGCACATCAACACTGTAGAACAAACTTTAACATGTTCTTTATGGTAAAGCAAAACTTACGTTTGGATCAGGCGTAGCAAGCAGAAACTACCTCCACCTGGCCTTCACTCAAACACTGAGTGTGCTCCATGCAAACTACCCCAGATTTGCAAAATGTTGCTGTCACAGTTCAGGGCAACTGCTTCTGTGTCTCCCCTCAGTGGTCCAGCAACAGCATCCACTCTCAGCCTTCCGGCTCCGCGGGTGTTGCCTCTCTTGTGTGGAGACCCACATCCCTCTCCCTGCTGACTGGGGTATTTCCAGGCTGCACAGTTCCCTGCTTTCCCTGTATTATTCTCAGCATAGACAGGTTGCCTAAGGACAGCTGCTTGTTTTCTTTTCCGAGATGGTTAACAGCTGTGATTGCTACAGTTATAAGGTACCACACAGCACTTCCTAAGCAAGCCTGCTTTATTCATAAGGCAAAAAACATTACAGAGAAAATAGATTAAAAACAATTAAAAAAACTCAACCCTACAGGCATGCTAATAAGTCCACCAGAGTTAACCCCAACCCTAAAAGCAGGGCTTTGGAGCGGAGCCTGGAGCTGGAACGCGGAGCAGTGGAGCTGCAGGTTTTTGCCTGGAGCTGGAGTGGAGCCGGAGCACAGCTCCAAAGCCCTGCCTAAAAGGGTTCTGGCTGGGGCAGTTCTTCAACCCCACACCCAAGGGGGTTTCCTTATTACAAGCTCGTCACAGCTTCAGCTCAGAACAAGCACCCACTCCTATGGGATCTCAGAAGGCCCCGTCCTTCCAATCCTCCTCTAAGGATTGGCGTCCTCCGTGGACCAGGGGCCTGTCCATTTTCTGGATCAGGAAGAAGACCATGAGCCAGTTTAAAACCAGGCTATTTATTGAAAAACCCTTCCTTTGTCTGTTGGTCCCTGGAGAGAATCCAGTTTGAAGTAGTATATGTGCATGTCTCTGGGGGCGGCTTGAAAAGGTTGATAATGGAGGAAGTTAATTGGCTTTCCCTCCCACTAGAGAAGATACAATGCTATAATAACACATACAGAATTGCATGTTTAATACGATGGACCCCACTGGTCTTAACCCTCATTCAATATGTTTTAACTTAGTTCAATAAAGTTCATTTGGGATATTGTAGGATATTATCAGTCTCTCGCAGTTCCCACCCCTTCACCCTTGCCCTGAAGATTCCTTCTGAGACGTTGCCTTTGCTTATCCCTCACTTAGCCCCGGAGACCAGTGACAACCTACAGCACTTCATGCAGGAATGAAGCATGGTTGGCCCATCAAGGTACACCTGCACCTCGCCTCATATCACAGTCACAGCTCTACCAACCTGCCGCAGCTACTCCCTCCGCTGTTCAATATACCTACACCGAACGCAGTTAATAGCGGTTGGAATGCATGCAGATAAATGCACAAACAATGGTGCAGTCTCACAGTGTTTCCACGTACCTACGTATGCTGCCGCTGTTGTTGATGCACACCCAGTATCTATAGTACTCCAGGGAGCAGAGTTAAGTCAAATGTACCCACTTTCAAATTCCTTCTCAATACTCTCCTTTGCTGTTACACCTACAAAAATCCTTGGCTGCTTGTGTTCAGAGACCACTACCTATCATGCCTCCTTGTACTCCCCCATCTGTCTGTCTGCATTTGATGTCTGTTGTGTGATAGTTGGAATGTGAGCTGCTTGGGGCAGGGAAAATCTTTTTGTGTTTGTACAATGTGTAGGGCCATGGGATCCTGGTCCATGTGTAGAGTTCCTAGGTACTATGGTCAATAATAATAACAATAAATTAGGACTGTCAATTAATCGCAGTTAACTCACACAATTAACCCCAAAAAATTAATCTTGATTAAAAAAATTAATCACAATTATTCACAGTTTTACTCACACCGTTAAACAATAATAGAATACCAATTGAAATTTATTAAATATTTTTGGATGTTTTTCTACATTTTCAAATATATTGATTTCAATTACAACGCCAAATACAAAGTGTACAGTGCTCACTTTATATTCTTATTTTTGATTACAAATATTTGCACTGTAAAAATAATAAACAAAAGAAATAGTATTTTTCAATTCACCTCATACAAGTACTGTAGTGCAATCTCTTTATTGTGAAAGTGCAATTTACAAATGTAGATTTTTGTTTGTTTGTTACATAGCTGTACTCAAAACAAAACAACGTAAAACGTTAAAGCCTACAAGTCCACTCAGTCCTACTTCTTGTTCAGCCAGTCGCTCAGACAAACAAGTTTTATTTTTGAGTGCAGTTATTTTTTGTACATAATTCTACATTTGTAAGTTCAACTTTCATGATAAAGAGATTGCACTACAGTACTTGTATTAGGTGAATTGAAAAATACTATTTAATTTGTTTTTTACAGTGCAAATATTTGTAATCAAAACAATAATATAAAGTGAGTACTGTACACTTTGTATTCTGTGTTGTAATTGAAATCAATATATTTGAAAATGTAGAAAAAATCTGCAAATATTTAAATAAATGGTATTCTATTATTGTTTAACAGTGCGATTAATCACGTGATTAATCATGATTTTTTTAAAAATCGCTTGACAGCCTTAATAATAATAAATTTAGTAAAAAACTGCCATCACAAGGACTACAAGATGGGGAAAGGTGAGGAATTCTGAGAGGGAGACCCCTGTCTGCCAGAATTCACTACCCCTGTACTTACAAAGAAGAGGAATGTGGTGGTGGGGGGGTTTTTTAAACAGGAAATGGGGAAGAAAAATATGATGCACCCTCAGCAGTTTCTGACACTACACCTGCTCTGCACTGTACTAAACTGGCCAAGTATTTTCTCAATATGATAGAGTCTAGAAGTGTTTGAAGAAAGCTTTGCTAAGAGCTCGCCCCAGACAGAAGAGTGCTGTGATCCTGAGATAACTAGCTGGATAAAGCTCAGACTGTTAGAAATAAATGTACAGGGTCTTTCTCCCAGTGGGAAATAGGTAGGGGTGCCAGCGGGCTGCCACCATTATAGGAACAGACTCTAGGGATAGATAAAGGGGTCAGGGAGGGACAGACATATGTCATATGGTTCCTACCCCGTTCCCCATCTCTCAGTGCCGGCATATCATCCAACACAACCCTAGAACCTTGGGGTTCTAGATTTCTCTTTAATGTGACTTGTAGCTCTGGTTGCATCTTTCTTTTCCCTCACCACATTGGCTGCTAACGGGGTCTGGAAGCATTCTGGGAACACTGTGGGCTAGGAACACATCTGGGGTGGGTTCAGAGCGGGGCTATGTGAAGAGCTGACTCATGGTGTTTGAACACTTGAGAATGGCCATGTTAGCCTCTTATCCTAGAAGAAAAGCATGAGGAAGACATCATAGCTCTTCAGGTGCAGGACAAAGCTAGTAACAGAACCGAGGTCTCCTTAGTGCCTGTCTCATTCCCATCCACTGTCTCTCAGCTGGCTGCATGCAGGAAGCCCTGCTATAGCAACAACCTAAGGTGGCATCGATCGGTGACTGGAGAGAGAATTAAAGCTTCTGTCCCCTGATTTTAACTCTTCACTTTTAAACACCACTTTCCTCTTTCATAATAAAAGATCAATAAAAATTGCACCCGCCTGCAAGTGAGCCAATAAACTCACCCAGCCTGCAGGGAGTCCACGCTTCATCTAACCCGGGGCTATTTCTACTCCAGATCTCTCTGATGGAGCCAGGGGAGGAGCCGGGCCCCTTGGATGCAGAGGAAGGGGAGATCATGAGAGGCGCCTGCACAGGTGAGGAGTTTGTTAAGCCAACTCAGAAACCACGGGCGAGTGAACAAACCAGCTGGCTTTTCCACCAAGGCCCCAGTTCTGCCCCTCTTCACGCATGTCAGGGTTGTCCCAGCAGGGGTCACATCCTCCTGGCAGGTGTGTCAGTCATGACTTCCTTCCCACACTCACTGACTGACGAATACACCTCTCTTCCCATCATCCTCTGTCCTTTCCTGGCAGTTGAGGTGTTACGTAGGAGCAGAAATGGTCCCTCTGCGTTGTGGGATTTGGCTCCTAATTTCAGACAATATCATTATTATTTATTTCTGCTGTTCCCCCTTTCCAAGGATTCTTTACTTCCCAGCACAAGAAATGAATCAGGTCTCAATTCTCCCTCTTTATTCCAACAGAGGATGGGATGGTGAAGATAAAGGAGGAGAATTGTCTGGAGGAAGCAGCATCACATGGGAGTTTATTGGGAATGTTGGCAGGGAAAGTTTCCTCAAGTCCTGATCAGGTGACGGCATGTGACTCTCAATGCATATCAGACAGTCAGGAAAAAAATCCTGGAGAGACATCACAGAGTAAAGCCACTTCCACTGGCAGAGCTCTCAGGAAAACTAAAAATAACAAAGCCCATCACAGAATTAACACTGCAGAGAAACCCTATAACTGCCCTGAGTGTGGCCAAAGCTTCAATGTGAGCTCAGACCTTGCTGTGCATCAGACAATCCACACTGATGAGAGACCCTATAAATGCATGGAGTGTGGGGAAATCTTCAATCAGAAATCAATCCTTGTTACTCACCAGAGAATCCACACTGGAGAGAAGCCCTATAAGTGCCCCGACTGCGGGAAAAGCTTCCGTCAGAACTCAACACTTAGGACACATGAAAAAATCCACAGGGCAGAGAAACCCTATGAGTGCCTACAATGTGGGAAAAGCTTCCGAGTGCGCTCCTACCTTCTTATGCACGAGAGGACCCACACTATAGATAAACCCTTCAAATGCTCTGACTGTGGGAAAAGCTTCTGTGCAAGCTCTGACCTTATGAAACATCAGAGAACCCACACAGGAGAGAGACCCTATAAATGCCCCGACTGTGGGAAAAGCTTCAGTGATTGCTCAGCCTTTATAAAACACAAGAAAATCCATGTGGCAGAGAAGCCCTATAACTGTACTGACTGTGGGAAAAGCTTCCGTGTGATTTCAGCCCTTACTGTACATCAGGCAATCCACTCGGGAGAGAGACCCTACAAGTGCCCTGACTGTGGGAAAAGCTTCATCCTGCGCTCATGCCTTGTTCGACATCAGAGAATCCACACTGGTGCTAAACCTTATAAATGCCTCGACTGTGGGAAAAGCTTCCGTCTGAGCTCAACCCTTTGTACTCATCGGAAAATCCATACAGCAGAGAAACCCTATGAGTGCCTCAAATGTGGGAAAAGATTCCGAGTGAGCTCCTACCTTCTTACACATGAGAGGATACACACTGTAGATAAACCTTATAAATGCCCCGACTGTGGGAAAGGCTTCAATGCAAGGTCCTACCTTATCAAACATCAAAGAATCCACACGGGAGAGAGACCCTTTAAATGCCTTGAGTGCGGGAAAAGCTTCAATCGCAGATCAACTCTTATCACGCATCAGAGAATCCACACTGGAGAGAAGCCCTATAAATGTCCCGACTGTGGGAAAAGCTTCAGTGTGAACTCAGACCTCATTGTACATCAGAGACTCCACTCGGGAGAAAGACCCTATAAATGCCTTGACTGTGGTAAAACTTTCCGTCTGAGCTCACACCTTACTAGACATCAGAGAAGCCACACTGGTGAGCGACCATATAAATGCCTGGTCTGTGGGGAAAACTTCAGTGACTGCTCAGGACTTATTAAACATAAAAGAAACCACACAGGAGAAGAACCTTATAAATGCCCTGAGTGTGGGAAAACCTTTAGTGTGAATTCAGCCCTTATTGTACATCAAAGAACCCACACAGGAGAGAGACCCTATAAATGCCTCGTCTGTGGGAAAAGTTTCAGTGACCGCTCAGGCCTCATTAAACACAGGAGAATCCACACAGAAGAGAAACCTTATAAATCCCCGGAATGTGGGAAAAGCTTCAGTGACAGTTCAAGCCTTATTAAACATAAGATAATCCACACAGGAGAGAAAATCTATAAATGCCCTGAATGTGGGAAAAGCTTTAGTCACAGCTCAGCCCTTTTGAAACACCAAAGAATCCATACAGGAGAGAGACCCTTTAAATGCCTCGAATGTGAGAAAAGGTTCACTGACAGCTCAGCCCTTAGGAGACACCGGCGAATCCACTCAGAAGACAGGCCCTATAAATGCCCCGACTGTGGGGAACGATTCAGTGTGACCTCAGGCCTTGTTAGACACCAGAAAATCCACATTGAGGAGAGACCTTTTAAATGTAGTGAGTGCGGGAAAAGCTTCCAGTCGAACTCACTTCTTAAAACACATCAGAGGATCCATACGGGAGAAAAACCCTATAAATGCCCCGAGTGTGGGAAAAGCTTCCGTCAGAGCTCCCACCTTATAAGGCATCTGAAAATACACATGGAATAGGTGTTCACAATGTTTTTCATTGTTGCTTTTAGAAATAGAAAAGAAAATAGAAATAATGGAGATATCCCATCTCCTAGAACTGGAAGGGACCTTGAAAGGTCATCAGGTCCAGCCCCCTGCCTTCACTAGCAGGACCAAGTACTGATTTTGCCCCAGATCCCCAAGTGGCCCCCTCAAGGATTGAACTCACAACCCTGGGTTTAGCAGGCCAATGCTCAAACCACTGAGCTATCCCTCCCCCCCCAATCTCTCAATGCCCCAGCGCCCATCTGTAATGAATGTGGGAATTTTCTGCAATATTTTTATGAATCTCCTTCCTTAGAGGTTTTTAAGGTGTTTCTAATGGTTCTGCTACACTCAGTCAAATGGGGATGATGGGGTCTATGCTTGGCTGGGTTTTACAGGGTACCCGTTATGGATTTAAAGGGTCCATGCCATGCCCTGGCCACAAAGGCAGCCCCTCCGGCCTCAACACCTCCGAGACTGAGCCTTTGGACTCCAACACTCCTGTTCCTCATGCTGAGCTCTGCACAGTGAATCCATCTGAGGTAGACTCCTGGTCTGAGACTCCCCCCCCCCACACCCTTCAGGGGTCAATGCACTTCAGGTGGTGTTGGTAGCAACACCAGGCAGGTGTTTTCCAAACAGGATAGGTTTAAATAATCAACTGGGATACAGTATCAGGAAGTCCTTAGGTTAACTTAGGCCATACCTACACTGCCACGTATGTTGGCAAAACTTACATCGCTCAGAGGTGTGAAAAAAACACAGCCCTGAGCAACATAAATTTCACCAGCATAAGTGTTAGTGTGCACAGTGCTATGTCAGTGGGAGAAGCTGTTGTTGGGGTGGTTTAATTATGTTGATGGGTGAGAGCTCTCCTGTCGGCATAGGGCGATTACCCGAGAGATCTTATAATGGTGCTGCTGCATCGGTACAGATGTGCCGCTGTAAGTTCTCTAGTGTAGACATAGCCTTAGAGAAGCAAAGGTTAAAACCGAGTTCAGACTGGTCAAAGCCAGGGCTTCACAAAGCCATGCTGTTGTAGGATCCATCTTCTCTCTCTGTCCTTCTATCTCTCAGTCCTGAATGAGAACTCCTATGTGTCTGTGAACCTTCTTCTTAAACAATGATCCCTGATACCTCTTGTCTCTGTTCTCCAGAAAAAGCCATGCTGTGTTCACACATTCAGCCTGCTTGAACCACCTGTTGTTAAGGCTTAATGTCTGTCATTGTCTCTTCTGGATCTTCCATTGGTATGTTTTGGTTCTAGCCAGCTTCTGAGGGTGCATTCACGCCACCACAGAGAGATCAAACATCATATGTCTCCTTCCCTGTTCCAGGAGAAGCATTTTATTCTCTCTGCATCCAATGAGTAACAATGCAAAGACAAATGGCCAACTGAGACTCATATTGTTAATAGAATCATAGAATATCAGGGTTGGAAGGGACCTCAGGAGGTCATCTAGTCCAACCACCTGCTCAAAACAGGACCAATCCCCAACTAAATCATCCCAGCCAGGGCTTTGTCAAGCCTGACCTTAAAAACCTCTAAGGAAGGAGATTCATAAAAATATTGCAGAAAATTCCCACATTCATTACAGATGGGCGCTGGGGCATTGAGAGATTGGTGATCTGGGAGGCAAAATGGAGAGTGCTGGGGAATGGAATATTTGGAAGTTGGGTTGTTGCTGGATGGGCACAGCCAATGGGTGAGGGAGGTTGGGTGCTGGTGGGTACTTGGAGACTGAGATGGGAGAACTGTCCTGAACTCTAAATGTTTTCCTTCTCCAACAGAGAATGAAAAGCAATATACCCCCCAACTTCCATCCAACTCATGGTCTGTTACAAAACCTCAGAATTGACTGTTAAAGCAGATTAAGTTCCCAAATACACAGGCTGTGGAAGAGTCAGATGTGTTCAACTGTTGATACTCGAGAGTACGACTTCACCAGTCAGGTTATGCAGAGCGTTGAATGGGGTGAATGTTTCTTTTTGGTGTCTGTTAGCGATGAAAGTGAAAGCCTTATGGAGCGTTGGTGCACGTTATCCACAATGTTGTAGCTGATATGAAGATGGCAAGGAATACAGGAGTCTTTTCCCTTCTAATTTCCATGTTTTAAGGCTCTGGGTGGCTGGCATGTTCTGATGCCACCTTCACTGTCACTAAATGCAGTTTTCTTTGTGTTACTTATATATAGAAACTTTCAAACAAATGTTTTTCCCCAATATTCTGAGCTCATGCTTTTTCTCCTCCATCCCCAAACCCTGGTGCTTTGAGTAGAAATGGCTCATGGTGGGTAGTGTTCAAGTCGAGCCAGCTTTTACAAATCATTTTTCAAAGTGAAAAATGCTCTCCAGCATCTTCTTACTGGTTCCTTTTTGTTGTCTCTGTCCGTCATTTCTGTTGCAACCAAGGTCTACCTTTTAGCCCCTCCCTCTTCTGTCTTCAAAAATAAAAACTTCTCCCCTTCTAAAAAATGCTAAAGTTAACTCTCTGTGGGAGGGAGAAAATGTCCAGAACACATCAAAGAAAATGTTTTCGAGAAAACCTCCCCCCGCCCAAGGACCTCCTTGAAATTTTGACCACATGTAGGTGCTGCGTATGGCAACAGAAAGAGTTTTTCCGCTGAAGTAGGGTGTGTCTGCACTGCAATGCAAGCCCAGGGTTAGCGGGACTTGAGTCAGCAGATGCTCGGTTTGAGAAACAATGGCTTGAACATTTGCACTGATTGCCAAACCCAGGTTAAGAATTTTTTAACCTAGGCTCCAGCATCCACACTGCAGTACGCAGATCTGAGTCCAACCAACCAGATGGCAGTCTTCCAACACCCTCCGGAAGTGTGGCTGGTCTAGCCCTTCGTTCGTGGTGTGGCATGGAAAATCTTGACTGTCCACACCGCACGTTGCAGGAAGTTTGAACAGCTGCCAACACATCCTGCCAAACCGTCATTTTGCTCTGGGTGCTTCCAGAAACTGGAGCCAGCATGTGAAGGAGTAGACCAGGGGTAGTCAATAGGTGCCCTGTGGTCCAAATCTGAACTGCCAGCGGCTTTTAAGTGGACTGTGGTGGGCGCTGGAACTCGTGGCTTCAGCCCCACTGGGACTCGTGCCAGAATTTGGGGCTTGAGCCGCGCAGGGAGCCTCCGTGAACCCCAGCACACCTGTTGGGGCTTCAGTTAGAGAGGGTAGGGAGAACACCTGCCCCCCAGAGTTTCGAGTCAGCCCTGGGCATCTGCCACTGTGGCTTGCTGTGCTTGTCACAACCGTTGTGAAGCCAGAGGTGGGGCATTTCCTCCTGAATGGACCTAGGACAGCGATGGGCCACTGCACTGGTGCACTCAGCAACCACAGCTGGATCTGGATGTACCCAGGCAACAGAAATCAGGGGTGCTTTGTGCTCCTGCATTATGGATGTGCATAGGCCAATGGAAGAGGGAGAATAGTACCTCTATGAATGGGCTTGTTTGGGGACTGGGGTGACATTGATTGCTTGTATGGGAGGGAGGGTTGTTTGCCGAATTGTACTTTTGAATGATGTGACTGCTTATGAAATAGGATTGGGGGGAGGAAGCAGCGTGGATTGATGTATATAGCTGTATTGAGATGTGTGTTTTGCTTAGAACCTCCCAGTTGTCCCTGATCATGTGTTTCCCTTTATTATTTGAAATACACCTTATACGATGTGTTGCAGTGATGGCAATACAATTCTTTATTAAATAAAAAACCTTTATTTTTACCCATGAATTGGAAAAGCACAATATTAAACCCTTGCCTGCCCGGCCAGCTTTGCCACTAGCCCACCAAAACACCAGCAACACCACAAGCTCTAAAAGTAACCAAGAACAAAGTGCATAAACAAGTGCAAACGGATGAGCTATGTACAAGACCTCCCCCTCTATCCCCACACTATTGCTCATCCCTGGGTCCCGGATCTCCTTTCCCTTCCTTCCACGTTTGCCACACACTTGGTGCTGAGGCGGGGGGGTGAAGGCGTTCACAGGAGAGTTGTTCAGCACTGAGGACTCCATGGGGCACAGTTGTCCTGTCCAGCCACTCATAGGTCCCAACTACACTGGCCACCCAGCTGTAGAGTTGTCCAAGCTGTTTCTGGAATGCAGGCCAGGGTACTGCGGAGAGGATGCAGCCCATGATGTGGGTGCTGCAGGAGCCCGCGCCTTTGCGGCCATTAGAGACAGCAGCCACTCAAACGGTTCCCTCTCCGGTGCGTTTTATCTTCCTCCCTTAACTGCCATTCTTGTTCCAGGGACTGTGAAGGGAGTGTCTGCTCCCCTGCTGTTACCCTATCCTCATGCTGTGAAGCCAGCCCGAGCTTTTCACATGTCTTTCCTCTTGCCGCAAGTCCCTTTGCCTTTGGCACTCGACCTGCATCTTGGCCCCATCCAGAATATCAACCATCAGTTCATCGTGAAAACGCTTCCTCTTGGAACAGTCTGCGAAGGCATGGGGAGCCAGGCTTCTGCAAGTCTGGGCAAGCTGTGGAGGTATGAACATAAGAATGGCCATACTGGGTCAGACCAAAGGTCCATCTAGCCCAGTATCCTGTCTTCAGACAGCAGCCAATGCCAGGTGCCCCAGAGGGAATGAACAAAACAGGTAATCATCAAGTGATCCATCCCCTGTCACCCATTCCCTGCTTCTGGCAAACAGAGGCTAGGGACACCATCCCGGCCCATCCTGGCTAATAGCCATTGATGGAATTTATCTAGTTCTTTTTTGAACCTTGCAGCCTGCAGAGGCTGAGGAGCCAGAACCAGGACCAGACACAGAGGGTTATGGTCTCGAATAGCTCAGCAGAGGAGCACAGAAAAAAATCTTTTTAGAAGTTCAAGGACAGAAAATGTTCCTTTTTTTTAACTGAACTTCCATGTATCAGCAGAGGGCTGCTTCAGACCCCGGATGCTGCCTGGACACAGCCGGGTTTATTGCAAGAACGGCAAGTTTAACATCACAA